TGGAGCCAGGCTTCGCAATTTCGAGAGTTTTGTCGCATTTGCGAACGTGGTGTCGCAAATGCGACATCAGAGGCCTGTGCTCAGCTCATTTAATGCGGGACTTAGGCCATTTATTTCATTTCACTTCATCTTTTGGGCGATTTTTGGAGCTTTTGGAAGGGGGTTTTCACCCTAGCACTTTGAGGTAAGTAATTTCTATATAACATGAGTTAAATACATATATTATGGGTAGATTAACATGTAAAAATTACTAGAAATCATGGGTTGAGACAGTAAACTAGTATTCTTTTGTATATTCTGCTAGTAGCCCACATACTTGTGATACCGGATCTTGGCACACACTAGTAGACTTATGATTTTGGATTTATTATTATGACTTCGATTTGCATTCAGTTGCTTTTGTTTAATTACTTTACGGCAGTAAATTTCTAAATCTTTTATAAGTGAGGAAAATTATTTCTTTGCAAACATATTAAAAGTGGAAATCACTAAATTTATCAGTGTTGGCTTGCCTAACAATGGCGTTGGACGCCCTCACGGTATGATAGAATTGGCTCTTTGACATGTCTGCAGGGCTTCGTTAATGGGCTTCGATGCCGAGAAACCTATCCTTTGGTGTGACAGCAGTAATTTTGATGGGCATCACTTGGGAGTTAGTAAAATGTTTGATAGCATATATATATATATATATATATATATATAGAGAACAATGCTCGAATTTTTTTCTCTTTTTCAATTATACAATTTTTTATAATTTACATAAGCTATATATAGTTGCACTTGGTAAATAGTGATTAATGATTTGGTTGTATTTTTTATTTTCCCGTGATTTGGTTAATTTATGCCACAATTTCTCTTACTTTGAGCTGCCAATTTTCTTCTACCTTGCTAAATTATATCTTGGGTTATTACTACATTACAGAGTTAATAGGCGAAAAGGTTAGAGCTTTTCTAGTGTTCATAATCTTCAAAAGTGTCAGTTACAGACTTATGGTTATTTCTATTGATTATGCAGAGGATAATATTGATTCATATGGTAGATCCCTCCATGGAAGACTACTTTTTCCTGCTTATCTCTCTTTTGTCTCGTGCAAACAAACAACCTTTTGGGTGGCAACAAAATCTCATTGAGGGAGCTTAATGTTAATAGCATCAGTCTATTAAATGGAAGAATCAAGTTCCTTAAATTTTATAGTTATCAACAAGCTAGACTTCTCCCTGACACAAGTACTTCCTTTATCTCAAACTAATTTTCCTCGTGCTTTTTTGTTGTTTCACAATATGTGTAGTAATCTACTTGTAAATTTAAAAAATTTAATTTTCTAGAAAATAATTATATATATATATATATATATATATATATATATGAATCTATATTTATTCTAATCACATTAAAAATTCAGCTCTTACCAGTATTGGTGTTCAAACAAAATGAAAAACCTTAAGTTGGTACACATAATGATATTTATCCTAACCAACCTCTCTCAGAAAGAGAAAAGAAGACTTAGCTAGATGTCGTTGTTCCCCGGTAGTAGACGCAGCCACTCTCTTCTTTTGTTCCTCTATATTGTTAAAAGTAATAGACTCCTTTTACCTGATATATTCATTAGATTGTATTAAGAAGTATATATTTTTTTCTTGATTTTATAATGTTAAGTTTTTATTATGTGATTGTACTTTCATATGTTTGAGAATAATAAAAGGTTCCAATTTATGGCTGTTGAAAGCTTGTAACCCACATACATATTTTAATGGCATTTATACAAAATAGTTTGCCGGATTTATCATTTACTTTACTTAGAGGCTAAAAAACGTTTGTCAAAAACTAAAATATATACGAGAAAAAAAGTATATTCACATATTTTATGTTAACTATTACACGCGTCTATGGTTTACGTGCAAGGCACGTACATAGAGACTAGTACTATATTAAAAGCACGAAGGCCCTAAGAGAAATATCGTTCGCCTTTTTTACCCTTTAAAAATAGTTATTCTAATTAACTTCCTAAAATTTAAAAATAATCATTCAATTATTTTTCTAATATTTAGAAATAGTCATTTAATTTTATTAGAAATCTTTTCTTATTTAAAATATATAAGAACTATTAATATTTAGGACTTAAAAATTAATAAAAAATTTACCGTAAATTATTTCCTCATTTAAATTACCATACTTTTCATATTGAGATAATAAATTATATCCTTTTTCTTTGATGGACGTGGAACTCAATTGAGACACAAAGAGTAGGTTTATTATTTAAAATTTCAAATCAAAAGATCCACACGGCTAGATATGTATTTTATTTTGAATTTAGTTTTGAAATTTAAAAAAAAAATCCTTGGTTTTAGGTTTTTGTTGTCTTTTATGATTACCTTTAATTATTGATATAACTATGAAATCCGTGACAAATATCAATATTAATAGTAAGATTCTCATGTTAAAGCCATCCAAATAATAAAAGAGACTATATTTTAGCAGTATTACTCGTGAATGAGATAATATCCAATCAGTTGAATTCAAGTACCGTCACTAAATATTATCAATGAATAGCTTTTAAATAGTTAACTATAATTCGCTTTTATAATTCAAAAAATAAAAAATATATATGTAGATAAAAATAAATATTGCAAACACTATATTAATGATTTATCTGAATGCACATTAAAACTTACATGAAGTGTTAATAGATTTTATACCTTTTGAGAATTATATTAATAACGATACCTTCATGTTGGTCAAGATAATAATAATAATAATAATAATAATAATAATAATAATAATAATAATAATAATAATAATAATAATAATAATAATTAATATTATTTTTTTACCTTAATTTTTTTTATAATCATTTTATATTTTTCTAGAAACACATGTAATTGGGCTTAAATAATACCTATCCAATTAAGTTGTTCATATGATAGTTAAACCTAATAATATGGAGTCCTTTTTTATTTTTATTTTCCAGTTTGATTTTCAGTAAGAATAAGATGAAATTCATATTACGTACTTGAGCAAAAAGAATTTATTTTTTAAGGCCATGAAGAATATAATATTGTTACAAGATATATTTGAGTACGAGTTAGTATATTATTGTGTTATGTTGAACAACTAAAGCAAATGCACAACTCATATACCAAAATTACGATAAGATATTAGAATAATTTTATGTGATGTACCTATTTTTTTCTTTATTAAGTTGGGCTATATATCATCAATAATCATCATTTTCAAGAGCTTGTGCTTTCTTTTTTAATTTTATTTTATAACTTAATTACATAGATAAATAATATTTTTGTAATTTTTAAAAGTGTATACTCACTTATATGAAGTACACGCACAACGCGCGTACTCTAAAACTAGTAAGCCAAAAATACCCGAAATTGCACAAAATACACTTATAAGTGTGATTTCATATTAGATCCCTTTCTTTTTGAGTTTTCATTCAAATAACAATTATAGTTTGTTAAATACTCGATGAAACCAAAAGTACTCATTTTTTACCGCCTTATGGGATAAAAACTACTAAGGAATATATTTAAGGTCCCATTTTGAACTTACTATCAAACATAAGACTTTTATAAAAATCGATCAAAGTTAATTTTGTGATAAGTGGAGCAAAAGTAAAATAATTGTCATATAATAAAAAAGAATAATAAATGAGCATAAATGTTGTTGACCGCCAGTAAAATTTACTCCATACCATTGTGGAGCATAGAACTTTCATATACCAGAAAAATACAATATGTTTAGCGAAACTTCAAAGATGTCTAAATATATTCATTTCATTGAACCTGACGATTTCATCAAACTTCAATCTACACGTGTCTGATAGACTTAGTCGTCAAAGGAGGAAAGAAGACTTAATTATCATAGGTTCTTTGCTAAGTTGAAATTTTAGTTTAGTTTGCATGTATATTAAGCGTACTAACTAAATTCTGAGCATAACAAAATTAGTTTATTTATAACTATTGTTATTTTTTTTGCATTATTTTTATATTTGATATATACTAATATTTTTTAAGAAGTTCAAAATAGTAAGAGTGTCCTAGAAAATGAAATATACGGTGAAATTAACTGCAATTTTTCTGTCAAGCTTCACTCGTGCTTATGCGTATTGAGCAGTTAAATTACCTTTTTTCTATTTGATAAATATTTTCCTATATTAAAATCACATACTGTGAGTCTTCCTTTACGTTTCTGGTTCATTTTTAGACAAATAGAGCATCTGTATTAGAATTCAGCAAGATCAAGTGGGCGTCGCCTATGTACGAACCAGAAGCATTTAATTGAATTTATCACATCCTTATTTATCAAGAATAGGACTTGTTCAGTGCCTCAAAGTTTTATGAAGAAAAAGGGTAAGAAAATAAAGTATTAGGATTGGCAATATGTTCCTCAAATCTCACTCGAATCAACTAAGCCTTTTTTAACAAAATAACTCTACTTTAATTTTCAATTCTGTGCTTAGAAACATCTTAAGCATGAATAATATCTATTATAAGTCTCATATGAATCCTGTCAATTATCATACTGCAATAAACAAAGAAATAGTACGATATCAATCTGGAATCAAAACAACCAATGCTTGCTTATTTGTTATCCCTTGTGATGTTAAAGCAAGCTAACTCTTGTCATATTGTGTATAATGCCATTGAGAAATAATTTAGGTTATAACACGAAAATGCAAGAGAAAAAGAACAAGAACCAGCAAGTTTGAACAGAAATCTAAAGTCAATCTTCTGCAAAAGAAGCACTAGTAGCAACCAATGACAAGGTGACTAGATAAAGCTTTACTACTGATCATGCGACAAGCAACGGAAAGTTGGACCTTTCCTTTTGTTTGTGCTATAACTTTAACTCACAATTGACTCTTCTACATCAAACTCCCAAGGGACATCAGCTTCAGTAGGAGACTTATGTGGAGCAGATGAAATACATTGAGTTTAGCTCACAGTTTACTGCTAAAAGCTAGTTGATAGTACAACAAATACGTAAATGGGGCAGACGTTCAGAAGTTCTTCCTTTTTTCCATAAAACTCTTGATAATACAACAAAGAAACGCAAATTTTCACACAGTTTTCTCTTTCTTTTCTCATGTATAATGGTTTGTCTTCTGCCCATAGATTATAATTGCTTATAAGAGTAAGACCAATAAAACAGTACTCTCCTATACATCGTTGCAACCAGTAAAACACATATAGAGATTCCTAAAATAAGGTTATAGTAAAGCACAAACATTTGATAACCTCTCAAACACAAATGAACGACTCCAGAAAGTCCTCTCGAGAACTGGTGTATACTAAATAAACTCATTAACTTGCATTTGATACTGGGTAGAAGATGAACCTTGACTGCTTTTACCAAGGTTAGATGGCCCAGGGCTTGGAGTTTGCTTTATTTCGAGTCCCTTTCCACTCAGTGCAGGGCTCCTTTCTGCTCTTACCTCATTTGATCTTGGACTGTAAGCCCTTTGCATTAACTGTGGGCTATGCACAGGCTTTATCTCTTGAAGAGGAGTTGGGGTTGAACTAGTTACTTTTGGGCTGCACGAATGTCGGATTTCCCCACGGCTTCTTGTGACCATTTCGTCAAGAATTTCACCGCTATCAATGCGGGTTGGTCTTGCCTGAACACCTCGATCCTGCAAAAGTATAAATCACAAAATTAAGAAAATGTTTCAAGAAAACTTATGTGTCTTGATTTAAGCTACTTGCACTGGAAATAACTGCAATATTCATCAGAAAGTTTTCCAGTGCAAATGTTAAATTTTGATCCATATATAACCTCATAATAACTGCCTTCACCCTGGAGAAACCATAAAGAATCTAATCTTTTTTAAAATGTGAAATTGATTGTCTTTATCATAGAAAAAGAACTAAACGATATATAATGTTTGTGCTAACTTACTTCAAAGGACATATTGTAAGTTACAGCTGAGGCTTCTTCATATTCTGCAGCATCCAGATCTTGTAGATGTGCTCCTTTGAAAAACTTGGGCAGCAGATACTGGCGAACAGGGACAAGAAGCATGATCAACATTGGGAAAAGGACACCTGCTACTGGTATCCATGTTATGCCGAAACACAGGAGCAAATGAAATGTCTGAAACAAGGTGAAACCGGCAATTGTCTTGAAAGGCACTATCTCCAAAAATGTCGCATGACTGTCTTCCAAGACCCTGAATAAGTTACAAATACAGAGAGAGGTAAGTGGATTTTCAAAGCAAGCTAGAAAAATTATTAGATTATGTGAGTTTCTAAAGAACTAAAACCCAGAACTAAGAAGTCGTGTCTTCTTTGGCAGTGCAAAATCCAGAGTCCTCTTCTGGAAGGATATGCAATGGGAATAATTCATGCATCCCTGTATCTTGCTAGCGAGATGGACACTAGATAAAAAAAGGATAGTGGGGAAGAAATGTCGGGGATGAACTATGGACCCGATGCACTAATATGCATATTGACTATTGGGCAGAGACACTCACTTGTATCTTCGGCTTGGTGCAGTTAAAAGCAGTAATATCCTCTCCCAAAACTGATTTCCTGGCAAGCTCTCAATTGCCATGAAAGCAAAGTATCCCCAGAGAACTGAAGTAGGAATCTTTTTCAAGATAGGCATAGCAGCAACGCAAGCACCAACCATTAATGCCTGAAGGAGATTGCTTAGGCGTTGTTCTTTGACTTCTACTGGTAAAAGATCATCAACATCCTTATTGACATCAAAGACTGTCTCATCAACTGGTGCACTAATGTAGCCCATACTCGATGACTGCTGAATTGTTGACTCCTTTAGCTCTTTGAGCCCCTGTTTGACGGAAGTATTACTAAGTTAAGCATGTTAATTACTTCGATATCCTCATTCAGCAATTACATCAACAATTTACCAGTCCCGATGGAGTTTGATAGACAAGGGGAGTCTGCATATCATTGTAAGCCTCCTGCATGCTCCGGTACAATTGGCCAAGATTTGCATTTTTACTCATGCTTTTTCTTGCTGTTGATACAAGTTTATTCCGTAAAAGCTGTTTCCATAGAGAGAAAAGTATTGAAATATTAATGAGAAGAATTATAATCTCTGAAAGAACAATCAAGCATCCTAAATTGTCGATTAGACTAGAAACAGCAACATTATTTCGTGAGCATTGTTGGGGGGGAAAACAGAAAGCATGAGACAACAAATATTTATGAAGTTATATTCTTTCTTGGTCCATAGTGAGGTCTTGTGTAGATGATTCCTACTTCCGGAGTTCCTTCTGCTCAACACTTGTGTACTATTCAACAAAAAATTGGCAGTGTACATATGACTCTCTTCAAGTTCAGTAATCCCAATGGACTAGAATTGTATATTAAGAAAGAATTTTGGTACCTGATGTTTCAATGTGGCTAAGCTTTTCGTATGCATGGGAGATTGTGGAATGACTCCATTGGAAGGAGGAATCCCAATAAGACCACATAGTATGACCTAGCGAATATACAAGCACCAAAGTGATCAACTAATCAGTTATAGCTAAAAACACTTTTGAAAACCCAAATTGATGACTAAAAGAAAAGGCCAGAGCCACCAGCATACCAAGAAGCCCAAAAGAAGGAGATCATAATGATACGAGGAAGGTTTCTTTAGATTGAACTCTTTTTGTTGCGCAAGTTGAGATGCAACACTGTGATCAAAGTAGTACAGAACAGCAATCATTGTGGCTGGAATAAAAGCTCCAAAAATATACAGTGGAGGAACATGCAACATTTCCTGTGAAAAGCACCACTTGAGTATGAGCTATCAAGAATAAATAGAAAAGAAGCATGTCTGATCCTTGGATTGATAACACTAAGAAGAACATCATTGGCTGGTATATACGAAAAGGCGCCGTGGAAGAAGAAGAAGAAGCACCTTTATAACTGTCCAATTCAAGTAAGCACCGGGCGACCATGGATTGGGGCTGAAAAGGCGCCGTGGAATCCCTTGTGGAACATCATTGGCTGGTATATACGAAACACCCGTCCAAACAAGCACCATTAGTGGGACACCATAGTCAGCAATAAATCCTCGAAGCCAGCCTTAACAAAAATGAAGTGTCAGCAATTTCACACAAGGCAACAATTTGCCTTTCTAGTTTTCAAAGCAATCGATCATTACTAAATTGATAAACACAACAAATTCACCTTTGTGCACATATATTAAGTTTAAGAATAAAGTGGGTGAAAGCTATAATTGTTTTCTTTTATGTTGTCTTTCATGTTCATGTACTTAAACTGAAAATTGTATACCTGTCCCATAGCGCCAGGATCTAGCTTTACGGCTCCTCAATGCAGTGAACAGAAGGCCGAAGGATAGAACTAATGCAAACATCACATTTGCAAAGCGCCAAGAAGGTAGGAACGCAACCTGATGAGGGTTTTCTCTTTCTGGTATGCCAAACTCCTCTACTAGTCCCTGTGTTTGCATGCATTAGTACTGAAAAATTAAAAAAACAACAATACTATTTTAAGAATTAGACCATAAATCTATGCATTAGTAGGAATTTGTGAAAGCACTGTTTCTGGAATAGACCAGCCAACAGTGAAACTGAAGAAATAGATCACAATTTGCAACAATCAGGGGAAAAGGAATTGGTCATCAAAATTGCAATATACCAAAACTAGTACATGAAAAGTCACACAACTGTAAATTCTTGAGGAAATTGCTATCAAATGATAAAGCTTCAATGAAAGCATAACTGAATTCTGCTTTTCTCATAGTATTGCTGATCTCTTAAAAGAATTCAAGAAAGAAAATGCAAGGTGCACTGCTGGAAGACATCCAAAATTAATTTGGGCTGACTGCTTAGAAAATTGAGAGACTAGGATCAAGACTTCCTTACCTTAATAGCCTGTTGCATAAAGAGCATAGCAATTAGTAGACCAAATAATTCACCAGCAAGACGTGTAAATCTGTTTATTATAGAGCATGCACCCAAAATTGCCAGCAAGATGAGCAGAAAAGCGGTCCAAACACACACCCTGCACATAACCAAGTCAGAAAGCTTGACGGCACTGGTAGATAGTGATTCAAGAGTGGCAAGAAGTTACCATGCTGTCCAGGCTAGAAACAGCTTCGGACCCAAGTCCTTTCGATCTTTTGCAAAGTTGAACATAAAAGTGTACATAAGTACAGTTGGCTCAGCTACTCCTAGTATAAGGAGTGGCTGTCCACCGAAAATGGAATGGATCACACCACAAATTGCAGTTGAAGCAAGAGTCTGCACTGCAGTTATACTTCCATCTAGCAATAATATAAGACAGATACAGCAGTTCGGTGAATACACCATCGGGTAAGGATCGACTGAAATTGTCAAAATCTGTCTTACCGGTGCTTCTTTCTAGTTGCTCACCAAAAGAAATAACAGGAATTGCTGATGCGAAAAAGATGTAGGTCGTTGGAGCCAGGATCCTTAACATATAAGACAATTCATGCACATCATTGAAAATTAAAATGCAATCAAGTCAATTAAAGTTGCTCATTACAGTGTTGCTTTTAAACAGACAGAAAGCCGAAGATAATAAGAATAATACTCAAATCTCCTCAAAAGAAGTCTAGGCCCAGCCAATATACAAAATCATTTACTGTTCAGTTTCACTTCAGCTTAAGTAAAATTAACGAACCTGATACCTGCACGGAGACCACCAGTCCAGTCTTGCTTGTAGCATAACAGTCTTCCTTTGAGATCATTCTTAATTCCACGGAACGGAACAAAGGTTTCTTCCATTACCACTCAAAATGTTGGCTAATGAAGGGAAAAGCTTTGTTCTGTTTCCCTTTCTACGGACAACTTAAAGAAGAGAAACTAGAACAGAACCAAAGGGACTCGAGAGGCCAATACCACTTAAACTAGATTAGCATAGTGAAAATAAGCATAATCTTTTGGGCAGAAAACAACACTTACTTGATCATGACTAGATTATTTAGGGGAAAAAAGGAAAAATGTGTTGATTCATATGTATATGTTAACTGTATACTTGACCTTCAATGAGGCACATGGAATAGGATGCTAATTAATGATGTTTACATATTTACAAAGAATGTCTTGGGATTAGAAGTACAAAAGAATCAGTTAGCAATCAATAATGTATTTCAGGTAAGTATGAGGCTTAACTTGCCAAAAGATTTCACCAACTTGAATTCAATAGGACCAAAAGCAAATTAGACTAACAGGTTGAAGTCATAACTCATACAGAATCAAGACTAACGAAAGAAACAGAAATTCTCCATCTTCTGAGATTTCTTACTAACAAAATTTATATCCATAGTCTAAATACTCTTATCACAAATTAAATATACATACTCTTTCTCGTCATTTACTAATTAAAAGAACAAAATCCGACCATGGCCTAATTACAGTTACATAGTCAGAACTTTTTTGACTGTAAAGGTACTAGTATATCTGAGCAAAAGAGTAACGTACCAGTAACCAAAAAACCAAGGATTTAGCGAGAACCCATTTCTTAACAATTGATTCTGAGTGTTTTAGAACAAGTTCAACCAAATGGGCATAACAAGGAAACAAGAAAAATCAAAGAATACGAGAATTAGCGAGGACCCATAACGAGAAAAAGTGGAAAGGGAATGATTCGGGACAATTGAAAGAAAATGAGCATCAATTTAGCAAAGAAAGCAGCTTTTTCACTCTTACATTATAAAGAGCAGACCTTTCCACGAACACAGTTCAATAATGAAGGGACAAGTAATGTACGCTGTTTACATTAGTCAAAGAAACAAAGTACGAAGAGAAAAGAAAGGGGAGTATGTCACAATAAAGCAATGCGAGAAAGATAGAGAGCGAGAGGAGCAGCTGAAGGAAGTAATTCTCACGAAAGAAAACTCTTTAGGTGGAAGGGATGATTGGCGTGAAGAAAGTGAGAGGTGAGCAAGCATAAATAACCAACAAACAAATACAACTATTGAAACAAATTACTGGTACTAGTAATTAGGTACAGTGAATAGTTTAATAATGACAAATGCGAATATATTGTCTATTGTAAGAGAAAAGAAATTACTCAAACTTTACAGACAAGAAATTAGAGAAGTTCTCTTTGGGATATTTAGGGAAGAGCAGACAAAAAGCGATTCTACGGAAAGGCTTCTGTTATGACTCGTAAAGGGCCAAAGAGGTTGTGCTAGAGAAAGCACACAAAAATTGATAAATTTGTTATAAAATAAATACAGTAAAGTAAAGATAAGTATAAAGAGAAACTGATATATTAATCAACTTGAAATTGATGTACATAATGAACTGAAATCTTCTTTATTTATAGAAGAAAGGAAGTTGTTGTGTAAGTTGCTACTGCAAGCTGCTGTGTAAGCTGTTTGTAAGTTGCTACTGCAAGTTGTTATGTAAGCTGCTACTTCAAGCTGTTTGTTTAAGCTGCTTGTAAGCTGCTATTGTATCAGATATAGATAATCTTCTACCGGGGTAATATTTATCCATAATAGAGTACCGAAAGAATAAGCTCATTGTACCAGATATAAATAATCTTCTACCGGGGATAATATTTATCCATAACGGATAACGGAGTACTGAAAGGATAAACTTCTTCAGGAGGCTTATTTCCAATAGAGTACTAAATAGATAAATATATTTACGGTGGAGTCTCATATGGATAAGCTTTTTCAGAAAGCTTATTTACAACAGAGTACTAAATGAGCATCCATAATATAATATATTCATAACACTCCCCCTTGGATGTTCATTAAAATATAATGTGCCTCATTAAAACCTTACTAGGAAAAATCTCGTGGGAAAAAAATCCTAGTGAAGGAAAAAGAGTACATATATTTAGTAATACGCATAACTAGTTGTCTCATTAAAAACCTTATAAGGAAAATCCTGTGGAAAAAAACCTTAGTAATGAAAAAAGAGTATAGCGTGTATTTTACTCCCCCTGATAAAAATCTTATTTCAAATATTTTAGTCTCTGCATTCCAATCTTGTATACCATCTTCTCAAGAGTTGAAGTTGGCAAAGTTTTAGTAAATAAATCTGCCGGATTGTCACTTGAACGGATGTGTTGTACATCAATGTCACCATTTTTTCTGAAGATCATGTGTGTAAAATAATTTTTGTGAAATGTGCTTCGTTCTATCACATTTTATAAATCCTCCCTTTAATTGGGGTATGCATGCAGCATTGTCTTCATATAAAATTGTGGATCTTTTATCACATTCCAAACCATATTTTTCTTGAATAAAATGAAAATCGATCTCAACTATACGCATTCCCTACTTGCTTCATGAATAGTTATTATCTCATCATGATTTAAAGAAGTAGCAACAATAGATTGCTTTGTGGAACGCCATGATATGATAGTACCTCCACATGTAAACACGTACCCGATTTGAGATGGAGCTTTATGGGGATCAGATAAATAACATGCATCTGCATAACCAACAATATTTGCACTACTTTTGTTAGCATAAAGCAAACCCGTATCAAGAGTTTCCTTTAAATATCGCAAAATATGCTTAATCTCATTCCAATGTCTCTGTGTAGGAGAAGAGCTATATCTTGCTAGTAAATTGACAGAAAATGCTATATCAGGCATTGTAGCATTAGCAAGATACATAAGTGCACCAATTGCACTGAGATAGGGTGTTTCAAGACCAAGGAGTTCCTCATCCTCTTTTGGAGGTCAGAACGAGTCCTTATTCATTTCAAGTGATCGAACAACCATTGGCGTACTCAATGGGTGCGCTTTGTCCATGTAAAAGCATTTTAAGACCCTTTCTGTATTGGCAGATGATGTATAAAGATTCCGTCTGCTAAATGTTCAATTTGCAGACCAAGACAAATTTTTGTCTTTCCAGAATCTTTTATCTCAAATTCTTTCTTAAGATATTCAATTGCCTTTTAGAGCTCTTCTGGAGTTCCAACAAGATTTATGTTATCAACATAAACAGCAAGTATAACAAATTCTAATGCCATTTTCTTTATAAAAATACATGGACAAATAACATCATTTATGTAACCTTCTTTCAACAAATATTCACTAAGGCGATTATACCACATGTGCCCAGATTGCTTTAAACCTTACAAAGATCTTTGTAATCTGATTGAATACATTTCTCGAGATTTTGAATTTGCTTCAGGCATTTTAAATCCTTCAGGGATTTTCATGTAAATCTCATTATTAAGTGACCCGTACAGATAAGTTATAACCACATCCATCAGATGTATTTCAAGCCTTTCACGTAAGGCTAAACCGATGAGATATCGAAATGTTATGGCATCCATAACGGGTAAATATGTTTCTTCATAATCGACTCCAGGTCGTTGTGAGAATCTTTGTGCGACAAGGCGAATCTTGTATCTTTCAACTTCATTTTTGTCATTCCTTTTTTGCACAAAAACTCATTTATGACCAATTGGTTTTATACTAGCAGATGTTTGGACTACTGGTCCAAAGACCTCTCTTTTAGTAAGTGCGTTCAATTCTGATTTAATTGCCCCTTGCCATTTTGGCCAATCAGATCTTTGTCGACATTCTTCGACAGATCGGGGTTCAAAATCCTCACTTTCTTGCATAATGTTAAGTGTAATATTTTATGCAAAAATATTATCCACCACTATTTCAGATCGATTTAAATTAATTCCATCAGCAGTAGAACTTATTAAAAGTTCCTCACTCACTTGAGTCTCGGGTTCATTGATTTCTTTAGGAATCTCAGAACTAATCAGATCTTGGGTCTCTTTAAGAGATCCCTTTTAAAGTATCGTTTTGATCATTTGTCAATTTTCTTTTTCGAGGATTTCGATCCTTAGAACCCAAAGGCCTACCACGCTTCAGGCATGCTTTAGGTTCACTAGCTCTCATGCTAGTAGATGGTCCTGCTGGGACATCAATTCAGATAGGCACATTCTCTGTAGGGATATGTGACTTAGTTATCCTTTTCAAATCAGTAAATGCGTCTCGCATTTGATTTGCTATATTTTGTAAATGGATGATCTTCTGGACCTCCTGATTACATATAGGGGTACGTGTATCAAAATGAGATAATGATGAAACTTTCCACATAATTTCTCTTTTGATTTCCTTTTTCTCTCCCCTAATTGTGAAAAATTTATTTCATCAAACCGACAATCTACAAATCGAGAAGTAAATAAATCTCCTGTCAATGGTTCAATATAGCGAATAATAGAGGGTGATTCGAACCCAACATATATTCCTAACCTTCTCTATGGGCTCATCTTACTGCATTGTGGTGGTGCTACTGGCACATATACAGCACATCCGAAAATTCATAGATGGGCAACATTTGGTTCATAACTAAAAACTAATTATGACGGAGAGTATTTATTATAATGTGTCAGTCTAAGACGGATAAGTGATGCTACATGCAAGATAGCATGACCCCAAACAGTAGTGGAAAATTTTATTTTCATAATTAGTGGTCTTGCTATCAATTGCAGGCGTTTAATAAATGACTCTGCAAGGCCATTTTGAGTATGAACATAAGCTACAGGATGTTCAACTTTTATCGTAACTGATAGACAATAATCATCAAAAGCTTGAGATGAGAATTCTCCAGCATTATCAAGGTGAATAGCCTTTATAGAATAATCTGGAAATTATGCCCTTAATCGAATTATTTGGGCTAATAGCTTTGCAAACGCCAGGTTGCGAGATGATAGTAGGCACACATGAGACCATCTTGAAGATGCATCTATTAGGACCATAAAATATCTAGACAGTCCACTTGGTGGGTGAATAGGTCCATATATATCCCCATGTATACGTTTTAAAAAGGTAGGGGATTCAATACCAACCTTCATTGGTGATGGTCTAGTGATCATTTTGCCTTGATAACAAGCATCACAAGAAAATTTATCATTTGTAAGAATCTTTAGGTTCTTTAATGGATGCCCACTCGAATTTTCAGTAATTCGTCTCATCATTATTGATCCAGGATGGCCCAAACGGCCATGCCAAAGCACAAAAGTATTTGAATAAATAAACTTCTGCTTTACGATAGAGTGTGCTTCAATTGTACTAACTTTTGAATAGTATAAGCCAAAAGATATAGTTGGTAACTTTTCTATAATGCACTTTTGGCCAGAAATATTCTTTGTAATACAAAAATATTCTACATTCATTTCATCTATCGTCTCAACATGATACCCATTTCGGCGGATATCTATAAAACTCAACAAGTTTCTTCGGGATTTGGAGGAGAACAATGCATTGTCTATAATAAGTTTTGTTCCCTTAGACATAAATGTAATGGCTCTTCCGGAACCTTCAATCAAACTTATACTACCAGAAATTGTTGAAACATTTGCTTTTTTCTTATCCAAATAAGAAAAGTATCTCTGATCTTTAAATATGGCATGAGTTGTTCCACTATCAATTATACAAATATCTTCATGATTGGTCTTTGATCTAAACATAATTTGAGGATTATCCATATTCTTCAAAATGACATAAACAAAATAAATTATACTCCCTCCGTTTCAATTTATGTGAACCTATTTCCTTTTTAGTCCGTGCCAAAAAGAATGACCTCTTTCCTTATTTAAAAATAATTTACCTTTATGTAATGATTTATAGCCACACAAAATATATGTGCCTCATTCTATACTACAAGTTCAAAAGTCTTCTCTCTTTTCTTAAACTCCGTACCCAGTCAAATGGGTTCACATAAATTGAAACGGAGGGAGTAGTAAACATCATTATCAAAGCATAACTTTTTATTTATGTACAACAATTACATAACCATACTATCTACTATAAACAATAAAAATTAAAATATTTATATTTCTACAAATTCATCACCGATCACATGACGTGTTTCTCCTTCTGGGAGTGCAAAGTAATCAGCTACATCCAAATGCATTCAAATTATCTTCGAAAATAAAATTTGCTTCAGCCTTTTTCTCTGTC